ATTCTGCCCGCCTGTCTTCTGACGACAAGATACTAACATGTACTTAGTATTTTCTGGTGTTTTAATTGACAAATTAATAAGTTTATATTGTGACGAGTGACAACTATAGCGGCATCTTACATTTTTAAACGTTTAATGCGTACGTCTATCCATTGGTTCTTGTTTCACAGTTAGTGCGTATTTATTACACAAGTTAACTGAGTTACAGCATAAATAATTTCTACATTAGACTACATTAAATGGTTAATTGAATTGAATTTATTATTGAGAACCAGGTTGAAAATATAGTTGATCCTTGCAGTCATGAGTGTTCATTGCATTTACATGGTCAGCAAGAAGTCTTGTATTTAATATTTTGGCATGAATGGGGCAGCGATCTTCAGACTCACCGCCACGTAAAACCTCAAATCCTACAATAACATTTGTGGAATATCTTGTGATCTTTCTAAAGCATTTGAGTATGTGAATCATGAATTATTACTGTCAAAACTACATTTTTATGAAGTTATGAATGGTTTAAATCACAACTTCGTGACTGAAAGGAAAAAAGTAGAAATAAAGTCACCAGATTCAAGCATTTATTGAAATTGGGGCATTATAAAATATTAAGTTCCTCAAGGTTCAGTACTTGGTCTTTTGCTAATATTAATATTATTTATTTCACATCCAGAAATTTACTGTTTTCCAAATTTACATGAATGATATCTTTGCTAGCGTGAACAAATGGATTAAATCGTATAAACTCACATCAAATTCTGATAAAAGAAATTTCATGAAATTTCGTACCTCCAACAAAAATTGTGTTAGTCTAAGCAGAGCAATTTACGAAGCAGAAACATCCAAATTTCTCGGTTTCCAAATTAACAATAACTTATATTGGAAAACACATATTGAAAACATTACGCTGTGCGTTAGAATAATGGCCTCTTGCAGGGAATTGTTTAAGAAATTTAATATTCTTCCAGTAGCCAGTGAATTCTTGCTCTCATCATCATCATTTGTAGCGGACAACATAGAACAAATTTAAACAGACTCAGATATCCACGATATAAGTACAAGTTGCAGATATAACCTTCATAGTCCAGTCACTAAACAAACTAAATATGAACAAGTATTTTATTAAAATGGAATTAAACTGTTCTCTAATCATGATACAACAAAGTTTTAGAAATCGCCAGAAGTGTATTTCTTGTCCGACTCCTACACCACGGATACATTTCTTCTTCTTATACCCTTTTCATGGAAATCAACACTGAAAAATCAAAGGTAATGAGGATAGCACCGAGAGCAGAACCATTGAACGTTGTAATTGGAAACCAACAGATGGAGAATGTGGAGCATTTCAAGTACTTGGGAAGCATAGTCACGACGGACGCCCTATGCACCAAGGAAGTAAAAGCAAGGATAGCCAT